AGACAGAGACAGACAGAGACAGACAGAGACAGACAGAGACAGACAGACAGAGAGAGAGAGAGAGAGATAGAGATAGATAGATAGATAGATAGAAATAGATAGAAATAGATAGAATTAGATAGAATTAGATAGAATTAGATAGAATTAGATAGATTTAGATAGATAAATAGATAGATACCAAGTGTACAATAAGTGTTGAACGTACTCCAGCTTGCCCATCAGTTGTCTTACTGGACATGTCTCAAGCCACTAACATCTTGAAAGCAAATCAGCGGTATCTCCCTTTGTGATCTCTGACATTCCAGAAAAAGGCACTCTTTGACTCGTTGCAGTTGACCCGTCCTTCTCTGGATTGTGGCTGTTCCCTCTTCCAGCCACTTTTCAGATTCAACTTTCAAAATGGTCTGATCTCCACTGAATGAGACACATGGTTGTGGGTCAAAACAGGAGCACCCTGGTTGACCACCAAAAATGAACAGAATAGACTACCAAGCATGGTCAACCTACCAGGGTTTGGTAGAAAGCACAGGGCATTGCGTCTCAGCAGCTTGGACAGCTTCATGAGGTCGCCATCAACATCGCTGCGATTCTCCATGACCTCGAGAAGTACAACTTTAAAGTAGAAGCACCGTGTAAATGCATGACAGCACGACAATACATACGATGTGACTAATAATATCGATTTGATTCAACATCAAACAAAGATGGTGTCCTTGGCAACAACCTTGTGTAAATGCTGTGTGTGTGTGTGTGTTTCACCAGGCCTCTCCCAACTTCACGGCGGCCTGTGCGTCCAAGCGGTTTCTCTTGGCGAACTCTTGGATCTGAGGAGCAGGCAGCACAGGCAGTCAGAAGGTGTGTAATGACTATGAATCAGGTTTCTCAAAGACATGCTCACGATTGCTTTCTGTAGCCAATGAAGAATGTGTGCGAAGGAAAAACAAAAGCGCAAAAGTACGAGTACCAAAGCATCTTAGACACCCGACAGACTTCCCAAAGCACCCACTCCTTCTTGGTCAGAGCTGTCATCCCCTTGAATACGCCCATGCGCATGTCTTTGACCTTCATCATCAGCATTCCTCCAAGACAACTCATTGATGCAGTTGCAAACTTGCTTAAAACTGCATGTCTGGAAGTGTACGATCTTCAGTTTACTGATTGCTGCCTTGTGATAGCTTGATACAATCTCGCGACTTCGACAAGCGGAACATGAATCTCAAGGCCCCCTAAGTCCCATCCTGCCGGATTCTTTGAACCTTCCAGTCCGACCCAAAGTGCTTGCATATCTGATTCGAACCTGAATCCAAATTCCAAATCCCAAGACAGTTCCATTGTCTGAGTCAAAATGTGTTCCACATTTGCTTACTGCTGCCAAGCAGCGTGTCCTTGCGCTTTTTCATTTCCTCATTGAGCGCCCGTCTTACGCGTTCATCTGGTCAGGAGTCACACATGTGGAACCCGAGAATCGCACTGGTCAACGATGAATATGATGAACTGTCTACGTTGCCATTCGGACACAACTTGGACACAATCTGCCCGCCTAGGCCATGGTGATCTGCCAGCTCTTGCACCTGAGGGTCAATCCCTGCACTTTTGATCTGCTCGTACTCTGTGGCAACCTGCTGGAACCTACCAAGGCTGCCATGAGGCCAAACTCTCAGCCATGAGGCCAAACTCACAGGCGTAAACACATGGTCATGCAGTCCTCATCTGCGCCAAAGACTCTGAATCCAAAGAGCCGGGAGGTGGCATACCTGGAGAAACAACTCAAGGAAAGACTTGATAGTGAGTGCTGTTATCAACACACATGTTTATGCCAATGGGCTTAAAACCGCGCGTGTAGTGAAGCTGCTTTTTCATACAGTCCTTTTGGGGGGCAAGAACACAAACACACGCATTGGAATATGGAAGATGGGGGCAGGGGCGGGGTTCGGGGGGTTTCGGGGGGTTTGGGTGGGGGGCTAGTGATGTTCATGTTGTGTGCATTTGTATTAGGAAGCGGTTGGGTGGGGGGCTAAACACGTTGCATGTTCAGTGCATCATAGTGCATACGAAGATAAAGCCGGGTCTCCCTGACTGAACCGTTGTAGTCTAGCTTTGTGGTGTGTTCGTTGCACATTTATCGTCTACCTCGGATGCGACCGTAGCTACGCCGATCGTCCCATGATCTCCGGAGAGTGACCACCGTTTGGGGCCCAGGGCAGGTTGTCCGTTGATGGGGTCCGTTCGAACAGAGCCGATGCGATCGACGCTCGGGGTTGGCATATGTTACATATGATTGAGCCTAAAGTGGGATGGCTTGCAGTGGTCAATGTACCGAAGCACTCCATGTTCATTCCGAAGATTTTCCGTTCGGGGGATTGTTAGATGCTTGAGATAGTTGAAACAATAAGAGTATTGTCCAAGACTGTTGAGGATTTTACACATGCACATTGACAACGTTGATACAGCATGAACCATGAATCTAGACAGGATTCTCACCAGATGTTGAGTTTTTTGGCCGTGATGGTCGAATTTATGTTTGCAGCGCACCATGGCTTCTTCCAACCATGGGAATCGTGCGGCGTGGATGCGTTTGGTCAATTTCTGATGCAAATGCGCCCAGAGACCATGTATGACAAGGGCGACATCGTGAAGGCTGGCCGCGCTGCAGGTTGGAAAGATGGTGAGATCGAAGAGTATCTTGGTACCTGGGTCAGTCTTGGCGTTGTGAAGCAGAGCGCTTGCCGTCGCTATTTTTCGTTGGCTTTACCACAGCTGTCACCCAGAGCTGTCGAGACTGCTGAGCGATCTGTTGCTTGTTCGTTTCTTGATTTGATTATATACTGTGCCACGTTTTCCTAAGTCGTTTATCCGGGGCTATTCGTGGATGTTTCGTGGAATGGTGGGCCAGTAGGACACTTGCATGACGGCAACAAAATCCCAGAAACCTTCGCAGAACTTCGTGGAAGGTACTTTTGATGCACTAACTTTGTATCAGACCCCCTTCTCCATACACCCTCCATTTAGCCTTTATTTTAGGTTGTGTGAATTGTTGCTGAGCCACAGAGGCCATGCGACCAGGCGATAGCGATACTAGACAGTCCGGAGTTGAAGCGTCGGTTTGCAACTGTGGTGCTTTCGGACTCGGACTCTGAGATTGCTTGCGAAAAAGGACGAGATAGCGGCCAAAAGCGGAGGCAATCGGTTTTCCAGTCGGCACGCACCTTCGAGGATTGGTGTTCTGTACGGCGGAAAAATTCCACATCTTCTGCAGACGCTGTTTCGGAATGCGCGAGTGAAGCAGACATCCATTCGGAGATCAGTGGCTTTGAGAGTCCACATCATCTCAAAGCCAAATGGAAATATTGGCGTGACAAAGGGCAGAACCCGGCATTACAATTTGTGCGAAAAGAAGATGAGGAGATCGAGACATGGACGCGCTGTGCGGAATCATCTGCGTGTGTCAGCAAGGCGCCATCCTCTGAAACCAACCCTTTTGACCTGAATGCCTTTTTGAAAGATGAAGACGAAGAGATTCGAGTTTTGGTGGAAAGTTCTGTTCCCGTGTACAGTGACAAACAACGTCGCTTTAAGTGGGGAGGCTGCGGGATTCATACAGACCTGAGTCTTCAGCCCCATCTAATTCGATCTGGACCTTCGAAAGGTGACCTTGTTTTGAGGTGCTCTTCTTTTTGGAAGACCAACGAGGTCACCGGAAAACCGTTGTGTTTTTTTCATCACAAGTTCCCCATGAAATTGTTTGGTCAGCTGCCTAAGGGACTCCAAGAGGAATGGGCAGACCTGAAGAATGTGTTGTTGAGGAACGGACGCAGACACTGAATGGAGGAAAGACGCACGGAAGCGCATGTCTGAACTGCAGAGCGCTTGACTTCTTGTACGAACCACTCATTTTGATTTCTCTGACAGTCCTCGCTCTCTCTCTCTCTATGTATATATATAATTTGATATATACACACTTATATAGTTTATATACATAGATATAAAGATATGCTCTCTCTCTCTATAATATATACATATAAATATTTATAGATCTCCTCCTCCGCGGATTAACTCGGTTGTGCAACTTTTTGTTGATCGGACAGACCGCATGTGAGACGTTTGCAAAGACATGAAATGCTTTGTTTGCCTTCGCTGTGTCTAATGCTCGAGGCTCCTCCAGCATGAAAGGCTCCAGAAGTAAAGGAACTAAGGCTGAGCCTGTGTGTTCATGTTGCGACAAAAGAGGTCACTACGCTAGCGCTTGTCCTGTGCTGGCTAAGCAAGTTCTGGCTGCTTTGGGAAAGACACACTCCTCAGCGCAGATCAAAAAGATCGTGGCGAAGAATACGTCCTTGAAGCTGCAAGATTTTCACGGCAAGAATGTGAAGACAGGCAAAAGAGCCAGCGGGAATCGCAGCTTTCGTGGACCTGTGGCGTCTGCCGCGGGTGCTGCTTCGAAGGCCCAAAAAGGCAGAAGTGCGAAGAAAAAAACAAAGAGAGAGAACAGAAGCGAAGACCTCGCGCTCAGAAACAAAAGGGCAAACAGCCCAAAGTCGGAGCTCGTTCTGTGGCTGACGCATTTGCTTTTTTGAAGAAGAAAAAATTGCTTTGGAAGCCTGGTCTTTGCGAGTGCGGAGGCACCTGGTCCGCCATTAGTTTTGCACATTGCCAGCAACGCGGCTTTGGCCGCAAATTCCTGCGCTGTGAAGATTGCGGCGCCTATAAAGATGTGCTTGCTTGGAGTCATTTGCCTCAAGTTCGCATGAGTCTTCCATGCGTGCAACGTGCTTTGGAGCTCTACTTTGGACAGACGCCTCCACCTTCTGTCGACCACATTGGTCTGCAGCTAGGTCTCAGTGGAAAGAACACAGGGTCCTTGAAAAAGCTTTTATCTTCTTGCCAAACCATGAGGTGACCCTGGCTCAAGAAGAGCAAGCCGCGGCCAATCTCTCAGGACAGATCGAATGCGATGCTACGTCCATTCGAAAATGGAAGAAGGAGGACGGGACTATTCAGTACTACCAAGTCTTCGGCATGTTTCGGCGACCAACCTCCTCTTCGGACAGAGGCCAGTTCTGTGTGTACTCCATGGGCTGCGCTTCGTCTCAGAAGTCAGGAAAGCCTCCTCCAGAAAGCAGGAACCGAATCTTGGAAACCAGAGCTTTTGACCAGATCAGCGCCCGTGACTCGGCAAAGAAACAAACAGTGATTCTGACGGATGGTTGCCCTTCATACTCCCGAATATGTTCAGACTATGGTCTGCGCCACGAATCTTGCAATCACTCCAAGGAGTGTTTTGTGTAAAGAAAAGGTTGCGGTCAGGAGAGCTGCTCATCCACACCGGTGCCATTGATGGTATGTGGCGTTTGTGTAAGGAGTCGGTCCCCACTAGCTTGCGTTCACGTGACGGTGACGGTATAAACCCAAACATCATGAAGTTCATTCGACAGTGGCAATGGCGCTGGCACCAGAATAAAGATGATCTTCTGACGAAGCTGGGTCAGAAGTTGTCCAACAGACTTTGATCTGATGATGATGCTGGAGGAAGAAAAAGCGCGCGTTTTTTTTCGCACGAAACCACAGTCTCGTAGCATTTCGATGTCAAAATCGCTACGATTTTTGAGTTGTTTTCATGTACTGAATGCTGCGACAAACCTTGCATATCAATGCAAAACACAGTCACACACCGGACATTCCTCATCATTGAGCACCTCAGCCTTTCAAGAATGTGTTCAACCGCATGCGCGGAAACGAGCCCGGCGGGATGTTTATGTATGTTTACATCAAACATCACTGAAGTGCGGCCGTGACAGTGACAATTTTCGGGCAAGTCATCTGTATGTCATTTGCTTGGTGCTGCCATAGTCGTTCAGTGCTGGGGGCTCGGGCTGAGTCTGCTGACACATCGGTTTTGATTTGCTGCCCTGAGAGAATAACTATGCGTATCTATGCTTCAGATTGGGAGAATATATATATGTATATATATAGAGAGAGAGAGTGAGTTGAATTGCAACACAAACTGTTCTGCCTTTGATAGCATCAACCTAAGTAAAACCAAGCAAATGTGCACCACAAAATGGAAGAAAGCAGAAAGCAAAATGCTGTAAGCAAGCCAACCCTACAATCAGGAAAGCAGGACAACATAAAAGGCTCGACGAGATGACACACTGTTCTATAGGACTCCGCACGCTTCAACACTACCCAGAAGCTCCACCACAACAACAAATGTTGTAACCAGCATCAATACTAAGTTTTGTATCTGTCTTTTTTTCCGCGTCAAAGGCCCACAGCTTGGCGGCTTGAGTGCATTCTTTGAGAGCTCAGGACCTTTGTTCCTCTCAAATTGACCCCTTCAATCTGGATAGAATAGGATAGAACCCTTGCGTCATTGAACGTTGAAAAAGGACAACTAGATCTGTGCTCTGGCCCTCACGTGGCCATTTCCACCTGTATACTTCTGTTGTATGCACGTTGGACTGGTTTCAGTTTGGGTTGACTCTCCAGCCACAACAATCGACGACGTATCTACTGCAGTCCCTTTCAATGATGTTTGATCCTGTCTGCGCTACATTCTGTCTTAAGCACTCCTTCTCATTCCTCTTCCATTCTCCGTCCGTGCCTGGCAAGGGCAACTTGGGCAAAGCCGGCGCGCCCAGCCCGGGCAGCGGCAAACCACAGCCGCCACAGCCACCCAAAACAAGAGGTGGTGGCGGCATTCCTGGCATCGTTCCCATCATTGGTCGCCCTGGTGCGCCTCCCAAGCGCAACTTGAGTGGAGAATAGTTCGTGTGACTAGGACCAGAGCAATCGTATGCACAACAGGGGGAAAAACATATATATATATATGTACATAAGTTTTAAAAGATGCAACTAATTACATCCAAATCATCGAAGCGACAACACGCATGAACCAATTTGACATTTGACAGCATTTGATGGCCTGGTGGCAAGTGGCCTTGCAACATTTGTGGTGGCAAAGGCACTGGCGGCATGCCTGGAGGCATCTGCCCTGGCATATGTCCTGGTGGTATTCCCCCAGGAAGGCCTGGCAGTCCGCCTATGTTAGCCCCGAGCGGCGGCGGCAGCAGAGGCGCAGCAGGTGGTCCTCCTGGGGGAGCCGCTCCCGGTGCTGGTGGAGCTGAAACTGGAGCAGGTGGTGCGCCGGGAGGAGGAGGAAAACCCAGTGCAACAGGGTCCAGGGCTCCTGCTGTTCGTTCAGAAGGATCTGGTGATGCAATATCAATGTCTTACAGGTGACGCTAGAAAAAACAACATATCTCTGTTTTTTTACAAAGTTTCACACACATCTCCTGTTGGAACACTCGGCATGAGTGCTCCCTCTCCCTCCCCGCAACCGCCATCCTCAATTAGAGCCGAGGTCGTCCCAGTGAGAAACATGTCAGTATTCAATTCTTGCTTCACGCTGTAAATGCAGCCCACTGCAGTCAAGCATCGCCACCACGTTTTCGTCCCATTCTGGGCCATCAATATTAACTAGGAGCAAAACTCCTTGACATCCTTGAGCAGTGAGGCAGTTGAAGAAAAACTCGATGTTTTAGGTGTCCAAGGCTGGTCATATCCCAACACTGACATTGATTTTGACGATTGATGTCTGATGCTGCAGTGACAATTTGACATGAAAAGCTCCAGAGGATAGATAGATAGAGATTGATATATACAAAATATGTATGTATGTATGTATGTACGTATGTATGTATATGTACATGTACATGTACATGTATATGTATATGTATATGTAAATGTATACGCAAATGTATATGTATATGTATATGCGTGTGTGTATGTGTATGTGTATGTGTATGTGTATGTGTGTATGTGTATGTGTATGTGTGTATGTGTGTATGTGTGTATGTGTATGTGTATGTATGCATGTATGCACGTATGCATGCATGCATACATGCATGTATGCATGCATGTATGTATGCATGCATGCATGCATGCATGTATGTATGTATTTTTCCTAGAGGTGAAGGCGGCACAGCCGCTGGCCAGGTAGGGCAGGTGGCCTCAGAAGGGCCAGGAGCCCAGGAGGACGACGCGAAGGATGACAAGGAAGCTGACCTGCCATCAGAGCTCAAGCCCAGACGCCTTCACTTCAACAATCTGCAGCGCAAACACGAGGAGGATGCCATGGATGACGCAGCCATGCCCTCAATCCCTGCACAGGCCATGACACCAGCCAGGCAGCAGGGAAAGGGGCACAAGGGCCACACAAATAAGCGCTCAGACCCCCAACGTGTCTCTGAAGAGGCCACCAAGGCTGCAGAAGAAGAAGCGTTGGAAGAAGACGAGATGATGGATGTGGTCGCTTGAACATGTCGTGGATTGGCGGTGATCCACGTGTGCCAGCTCCCTTGCACTCTTTTTTGAACGCCGTGGTCAGGATGATGCATTGCCCCTTGAGGATGGTATTGATGACCTGTGCTCTGGTTTGCCTTTTAGGCATGGCCTTGGTGGGGCTGTGGCGCACAGGTCCTCAATGCTCAGCTGAGGACAGGCTTCCTGCAGTCTTTCCTCAAGCACCGTCACGGTTAGGCTCTGATGTGCCCTGATGCCACAAGCACTGCACTGGTAGCCCGTGCGGTGAGGTTCCCATCTATGGCCATGCTTGTCGGGCCACGGCGCGCCGGTAGATCACTGTGTAGTCTTGGTCCAGTGTGTGTTGCGAGGATGATGCTGTTGCGGTCATGAAGGCTATTGGCCCGCTCCCACGCTGCCAGCGCCGCGTCCCTTTGCCTCCTCCTCAAGTGGGGCCTCTGGAGTGCTAGTGTTGCGGCTCGCGTACAAAACCTTTACTCTCATGGGTCTTCGTCTTGGATACAGCGATCAACTGCACGATGACTTTGAGTGGGGTGAGAGTATGTCGGGCCAAGGCTACCATGCAATCCAGCAAAAAGGGCACGGGCTTTGGCGTGCGGGCTGGGTGGGATGCCTGCACCCTCCGAGCCGCTGCGTTTGGCCAAGTGACATTGCGCGTGCACAGAGGCCGAACACCCACACCTGGCCGCGTGGGTCATAGGTGGAAGGGGCGGCATCCATCCTTGGTGTTGGTGAGGGGCCGAGGCCTGCAATGTCTGCCAGCATCCATGTCCATGGTAGGGATGCGCCACTTGTTTGTGGTCTTGTGGTTCCAGTGGTATCCAGCCAGCCGTCCACAGGGGATCCTCGTCATGGTGAGTGATGCGCTCAGCCCACTCTGTTGGCACGACTTAATTTGTGGCCCTTTCCATGGTGCCACTGGCATAGCCAAATGATGTGCTTTGGCGTGGCTGACACCTGACAAACAAGCAAGTCTTCACAGCATTGACCTAACGGAAGTGGACTGCTCCTTGGACCCATGTCTTAAGGTCAGCTGGCAGCTGTCTCAGCTGTTGACGAAGTGGTGATGATGCGGTCGATTGGCCAGTCGATCGGTGCGCTGTTGTTGGGCTTCTGCAAGTTCCAGCTTCCATCAAGGATCACGGAGTGTCGGGTTGGCTGCTGGAAGGAATTGAGATTCATTCCTGTGCCACCTCATGAGGTCATCAACTTGCCAGTTCCATTCTCTCAAGTAAGGGACTGCGGCTGCCATGGGCCCTCGGACATAGTAGCGTGGGTATTGTTGTTGCTGGAGATGAGGCTGAATGTCTTGCCACGCCTTTTCAAGGTAGGGCAATTGGTCCCCTGGCCAGGTGTGGATCAAGGAGTGGTCTGTCCAGGGCAGTGTTCTTGGGCAGCATGACCACCATGCGCAGTTGCAGGCTGGCCGTTTGCTTCCATCTCCTGGAAAAGCCTGAAGAGTGGTGCCAATGAGAGTGGGGCGCGCACTCTTAAGAAGCTGAGCTGAAACAGCATCCGGCCCACTGGCCCTGTCTGGTAGGTAGGTGCTTCAAGGTACGATGCATCAAGTTGAGCTTGTTCTTGTGCCCAGCGGGTCAGCTCTGATGCCAGAGCTGGCCCCAGTCTTGAAGTCGATGTGTCATGCGGTCAGGCATAGGGATGTATGGCCTTCGCCATGCAACTTCACTGGCTTTGAAGCTTCGAAAGAGCCCACGTAGGCCTTTCTGCTGTCCTTGCTGGAGCCATTGTTTGTATTGCAACGCGCTCTCTTCATTGGCTGCTTGACGTGCTTCCTGAAGTTGGTGTCGCATAGTCTGCTGAATGAGTTCCGCTGCATGGGGGTCCCTGTGCCGGCGCCAGTGGTGACAAGTGTCTAAAAACTGGCCCCAGGTTGGCGGTCCGTTTGTGGACATCCTGGAGTGCTGTCATGAAGCCCTTGGTGGGGCCTGTGATGCTGCGCTGGTTGCTCGAGGGCCATTTGGCGGCGGACCTGGAGTTGTTCCCAGAAGGCAGGCTTGCCTTTCTTCCATGTGTATCCTGTTTTGGGAGCAATCAGTGGCTTGACAACCACTTGGAGATTGGCACCTCGTCCTGGCACAGCCCAGGGATGCTCTTGCAACAGGTATTTTTCAGTCCTGGATATCCAGTCAGCCCATGACTGTGCGCTGTCATTCGGTGGGATGGTGTAGAGCTCAAGCTCGTAGGCCTGGGACTGGTAGGTGGTTGAGGGCCTGAAGTCTATGTCTGGAACTTTCGGGAAAGGCGGGTAGGGTAGTACTGGATTTGCCGGTACTCTTTGGCGGCAGCCTCGATGTCAAAGCCAAGAGTCACCAGTGCATGTGGCCTCCATGAGACTGCCCAGTCTGTAGTAATGTGGTTCCTGCAGGGTGTTGTGAAGGATGCCGAAGTCAATAGTGTTGCCGGGGAGGACACTATGATCTGGCGCCAAGATGCCAAAATGGAACTTGGAGGGTAGTACAGAACTGGAGACGTAACCTGGACTGTTTTGCCAGTCACCAATGATGTGGCCTCAATGAGGGCAAGATTGCGCATTCGGTGGCCTGCCAAAGGAACGCTTGGTATCCACATCCTTGGGCGGTGAAGGCTTCAACTTCAGTGAGTCCACGGGAAAGGTCCGCAAGAACGAGAAGGCCTCCACGAGTACCATTGTTGTCTGGATTTGGCCAAGCTGGCGTGCGTCCCCTGATGTTGACGTACTGGCATATCTCATGGCGCCGCTGTGGATCAAGATGGGTCGCCGCAAAGATGTAGACTTCACTGTCCCTTGTCCAGTAACAGTCGATGACCTGCCTGCCAAAGTTCGTGACATTGCCATAGTGGAGGCGATTGCGTGCCTGAGAATGCCTGGCTTGCTTGCGAGGACTTGCACGCGGTGGAGGGTCATAGTCAAGCTCTTCTGGTGCTGGCAGATCTCTGATGACCTGTTGTGGAGTTCTGAAAGTATCCACACGCACCGACCAGATTTGTAACCTGGCTAGCCAGTTTTGGCGTCAGGTGAGGCAAGTGGATTGGTGCCTGTCCATCATCTGCCAACCACATCAAATCTCTGTAGATCAGGATGGCAAAGTAGGGTCCTCGATGACAAATGAGCACAGGTGGTATAAAGTCAGACGCTGCCCGCGCAAAGCCATCCAGTGATCTGGGAACTCTGAAGGTTCCGTAGGGATTTAGTGGCTTGCTGTGTTTGGTCGTGACCCCGTCAATGCAGGTGTTCCTGGTGACATGGCATGCCAGAAGTGGCTTGTCGTCCATGAGGTACTGCGCAAGGCCCTGGTTGGCCCATCCGTTGATGAGCTCTTGGAACGTGGCATCACCGTGCCAGTCATCAGGGCATGGCACCAAAAGTGTGTATGTATGTATGTATGTATGTATGTATGTGTGTGTGTATGTATGTATGTAGGTATGTATGTATGTATGTGTAAGTATATGTGTGTATATGTGTATGTATATGTAAATGTATAGTAGTTTAAAACAATGCATTTGGCCGCTGTGTATATATTCGCATGGTATGTACACGCTTTCGTGGTGGTAACCAAAGACATTTATGCGCAGTAGGGGCCCACCCTGTCACTTTTCTGTTTTTGTTGAATCACATTGGAACTACGACGCGCGGAAGGCATACATATCTTGGAGGGTTCACCAACATTATCATCAATGTCACAACATTGTCATCGATGTCACAACATTGTCATCGATTAGTCATGTGATTAAAATCAGTCGGGGTGGGGGTAATTCGATCTTCTCAACATTGTCATCGATGTCACAACATCGTGACATTGTCATCGATTTCACAACATTGTCATCGCTTAGTCGTGTGATTAAAACGGGTGGGGGTAAATCGACTTTCTCAACATTGTCATCGATGTCACAACATTGTGACATTGTCATCGATTTCACAACATTGTCATCGATTAGTCGTGTGATTACAATGGGGTGGCCGACAGGATGGACACTATCTGGACCCCACAATAATCGTTGCCCAAACACATCATGAAAAAAGCGTTCTAAAAAAAGAAACCGTGGTGATTCTCACAACCCCCCATTGTCTAAAGTGACCGCGTCGGGATACATACAGACATCATCCATGCATTCATACATACCATGCCGTTACATTACGTTTCATTACAATTGATTACATACCATAACATTACATAACCAATCATAACATTACATTTTATTGCATGGCACGACATGACATGGCATTCCATTGCGTTACATTACTTTACATTACATACTGCAAGTTAAGTTAAATGAATTACATAAACATATTGTTGCGTATATTGCAAATGATACTTCTGCGATCCAACTATATACTTGTGGAAGAAACGCCGTGCCCCGGGCGTCAAATGAAGCAGAACAAGCCTCTTGTTGCCAAGACTCTGCGGAGGCTACAGGACAGGCAGCTGAAGAATCGAAAAGGACCCTAACAGCAGCCTGACGTGCACTGTTTGAGTCTGTCCACTGCAGCTTAGTCGAAGTGTCGTGTCTGTGAAAGTCTTTAGAGCTTTCGTAAGCTGGCTTCTTGCTTGCCAATCTCCTATGTGACATATTGCCGCCATCCAATTGAGCCAAAGGGTTGGCGCTTGACGCTTTGAGAACACAACCTATACAAACATTGCGATATGGTTCAACCAACGACACCGCAACAATAATTACTGATTTTGCCGGGGCTGCAGCAAAGCGCTAGCTTCTCTGAAGGAGTGTCGTCAACAAATAATGAAGAGACGGGGAGCAACTATTTGCTGCCACCCGTTAAAGCTTTTCGGTTCAAGCAACTGTCGCGGATCGACAGCTTCGACAGAAAGACATTGGCAATCCGAAGCAGTTGTGCTTTGGCTACCAAGACGTGAATCAAAGTACAATCGATGATCAAAATCTTCAAAACATCAGCTCTCCAGTTTATCTTGCAGCTGATGTCATCATGCTTGATAGTACCTCGGTCAATCTACCAAACTGTGTGCGTGTGCATTGGTCGAGCAATTGATGTGTATACTGTGTGGCAAAGGGACTGCAAGATACTAGTCGGAGGCGGAGGTGTGGCTAACATCAAGTAGTTTGTTTGGGACTCTATTTATTTGAAGTAATCCGACTGTGCATCAAATACACGCATACATAAACTATAGTGTTTTGGTCACGTATACAAATAGTGGAACTATACAAACTATCCCGCGTTCAGCGCTACTGAAGCATCGGCTTTGGATTTGCTGACTGCTCTTGTCCAATGACTTGTTTGTGGTTGGGTTTCTTTGGATCTCTTTGCCCAAGCCAACCTCAGGTTGTGCGTCAGTCTGAAGCTTGCGCAACCTGGATCAATCCTTGGCTCTAAATGCTCTGGACTTCAAGCCAAAAGACTGACCTTCACCACCCAGTTTCTCTCGCCTATTGCGAAGTCAGTCCAAAACTCCTTACCACTAGCGCGAACCATCACACTTGGCACCTGGGATGTCATCTCCAAATTGCCACGGACTCATGCATATGGCATATTGCCATATGTTTATCAATTGCGCCCAGACGATTCAACATATTCAAAGAACTCACATGCCCTGGAGCGAGCTGAAGTGCCCAACAGCATTGATGACACCATGGCTCTTATCAACACACTTGGGGGCAGCTCACAGTCTCCAAAAACGGCACCTGCAGCCTTGTGTCTCAAGCCCCTCACTCACACATGTAGTTTCAGCCACTTGTAATTCACAGAGCACGGGAAGACTTCAAAAAATTGTTCCAGCTCAGGTTGTGCGCGCAAGGCACCTCGTCTAGAAGTTGCGTCGGCATTCCATCTGGGACCTAGGCCCAAGCTCCAGGGTATAAATAAATAAATATATATATATATATTCACTGCTGCGTTGCTTTTATGCACCCCAAATCTCTAAATATGTATTCCCCACAAGTCAAATATCATGTATGTATGTGTATGCATGTGTATATATATATGCATACTTTCTCTGGAGAGCAGGACGCTGTGAGAGTGCACTTATTTTGACAGTTCTGTCACTTGTATTTGCTGGCCGTCGTTTTTCACTACCTTGCCGCCACTCACCTTGACATGAAATTGGTGGTGTTGAGAACTGGTGATGTTGTGGTTGACGTTGTTAAAACTTATTTTGTTCATGTTGATTGTATTGCAATTTTGGTTTGTTATCGTCAATTTTGGTTGCATTGCGCGTTCTTGAAACTGATATTCGTATATGTATATACAATCAGGATTTGGATGGTGTTGAAGAGTTGATGGAGATGTTTGCGTTGATGATGTTGTAGGTATTGATGTTCAAATTGACGATAGGAATTAAAGTTTTTGATCTTTCTATTACTACAACAAATAAGTGTTAACTCACTCACTCACCCACCCACCCAATCACTCACTCACTCACTGACTCACTCACAGTCACACTCACCACCACCACCACCACCACCACCACCATCACCACGATCTCCACCTTCACCGCCATCACCTCTCTGGACCCCAATGCGTCTAGATCTCTAGACTTTCTGCTGCTACACCTCTAGACCTGGTTCGTTCTTATTGGTCGCAACCATTTGTGGATCATTTATAACCATTGCAGTCATTGTACATGTGCTAAGCAGAAACTGTCAGTGGTTGAAAGCGAATGAATGATATAGCCATTGCAGATTCGCAAAGCAGAAATTGTTAGTATATGTATGTAAATAGGATGAAAAAACGCACTCTGAGGGTGTCCCCTCCTGTTTATATATGGGTTGCTGTTCCACCTGGAGAAGGCGACGCAACCTTCCGAGTCAAACCAAGAGCAGCACGAGTGCCAAAAAATGCCGCTGAGCAGGGCACCCAGCAAAAGGCACCAAGACGCTCTGGCGACGGAACGTGCTGCTTGAGGTAATGTCCGGATTAAAATGGCTTTCCTGAACAAAGTTGGAGAGGCAAGCGTCATCATCAGAACCTGCAGCTTTTTGCGCCAGCTTTTTTCGCGCTCACAGCTGCGTGACCACTTGGAGCCTAGATGAGCTTAGTAAGTTCAGTAGCAAAACAACTTGGACTAGCAAAGCGCTGTGCGCATCACCAGTATCACCATCCGTTTTATATATCATACTGTCAAACAAACAATGCGTAACTCAAAAAGGTATCGTTTTCAAAAGCGCCTATCGCTTTGATAATTGATTGATTCCAATAATTTCAATATTGCACAACATAGCTAGCTTTTTTATCTATTTATCAAACTCTTTTACATTAAGCATTTAAGCGAAAATAGTTAATCTATTGATATACAACTCTAAGAAATAGCAATTAAAAAATCATTGCTACAACACAAAAAGTTAAATTTAATGAATAACTGTTTATAGCTATCTATCTTTAATGTTATGCGTAGATAGATGTTAACTATATATGTCTCAAAACAAATCAAGAAAGTAATAACACTTGCGCATTACCAAACAAAAAATATGTATGTATATATATGTATGTATATAGATACACCCGCAATTTAGAATATACAAAGCAATCATACCAGCGCAGGGCCCAAACAGTTTGCACGTTTACGAAGTAAACCACAGAGACGAACTGTCAGACAGTCAGCGGCTCGAACCGCTCCAGCTCGCGGCGATCGACTCGGACCTTCTGGGCTCGTTTTGGCTCTTGGCTCAATTGGTGCAAGTGAGGACCGGCAATTCAGACAAAAAAACAGAACGTCCGTATGTTGTCACTGACCGCAATTGCAAGACATCGCAAGGTATGTTGAAGCAATGACGAAGGCCAGGTGAATGTATTCAAGGGTCCGAAGTCTCTTTCGCCCTTTTCCCCAGATAGCGAGCTATTGGTGTTCTTACTTCAAGCATAGGAAGAGGGTTTGCGTGCGCCGGGCCGATGCTGGCTGCCAAACGTTGAGCGTGGGCGCTGGCAGGGGGCCCGTGCTATCAATGGCAGATTGCGCTTGTGGAGGCGGGTCGCTGGCGCCGAAGTAGGGCGTTGCTGCCAGATGACGATGGCAATGCGCGCTGCCGCCGCTGCAGGGCGCCACTGCACTTGCGAAGGCTGCGTGGCTTTCTAAAGTGCCAAGATCAACTGTTGCTCACCACACCCTGGCCTTCGTCAAAACACTGGACCACCCTTGGATGGCCCACAGGCGTCTCTCTATTGCGTTTCTTGATGGGTCTGATACCAGGACACTTTGCAGAGTCGGCAGTTGAGCGCCGTTCGAAGGTTCGAAGGCCTGCCCTCGGACTGACTCACTCTCCTCCGTGGCGTCGGCCCTCAAGGCTTTGCTCAGGTCTTCAAACTCCAAAGGCTCGTCTGTCTCATCTTCATCTACCACTTCCTTTTCTCCTGTCTTTCCTTTTCCCTTCCCTGTCTTTCCTTTCTCCTGCCCCCCTGGATTGGCCAGAGCTCGGTCTCCTTTTTCTCCGTCTTCTGCTTTCTCGCTGTGATGATGAGTGGGCTGCCGGTACTCATGGGCGCTGCCACTGCGCCTTCTGCATCAGCTCCGCCTACTGTTCGATCTGGGCCACCTTGACTTCCTCTCTCGAATAGGCGCGCCTTCCGCTGCTACCTTGGCTCACGAACAATTCCACACTTTTGATCCTCTGCGACACTGTGTCCATGGCCTGGAGGATCCTGGAGGATCTGATTGCTTGCACCAGTAAATCCAGGACTGTCGTCAGGGTTCGCATCTCGCGGAGGTTCCGCGTACCAATCACCACCTCCCCCGCGCTACTGGGGGCAAGTCCTCGGTCACCTGAACTGCTCCCCTCCCCACGCTCTGCTTCAAGAGGACGTTGAATCGGCGAACGGCGGCGTTCGCGATCGCCCCTGGTCGCTCCTTGCGAAGGCGATGTAGGTGATCCACCCCTTTGAGTCACTATCGCTGTCTGAAGAGCCCTTGTCCTTCTTCTCATCCTTCTCCTATTTCTTCTTCTTCTTCTTCGTCTTCTTCTTTCCACTGCTTGCATCGCGCGTGATCCGAAGGACATTCCGTCTTCCCTCATCCGTCTTCCTCTTCTTCAGCACATCCTCCAGTTCCTTTGTCTGCTCACTCTTCTCTGTTTCAACCTTTGCCTTGCACGCGCAAGTCCCGAGATGTTTTTTTAGCCATGACACTTTTGCTGCTGCTTCCCCAGGTAGCACTCGAAAGACATCCACGTGAATTGGATTCCGATATACTGTCGTCTCACCACGCCTCGAGGCCGGTCTGTCCTTGAACTCATTTTTCAGCCACCATGCAAAGTACTCGTCTTCTATAGCATGGAACTGAGCTGTGTGAATCTTTCCTTTTCCATCTCCAAGCTCCTCTCCTGAATCCAAGAATTGGATAACTGCTCGCCCTTGTTTTGATCCATCATCGCGGTACGCTGCAATCTCCAGCCAGCAGTATGTCCTTGCCCACTCCGTTGCAGGGCTCAGGGGCGTCCATCTCTAATGTCCCCTCAGCTGACCACCAACGACTTATCCAACCCACCTCACCTAAGGCGCCTTGAACGGCCACACTGGGACACCAACTTTATCCCTTGAAAAATGAACGGCTATCAGGTCGGAGAAACTACACTTGCGCTATCACTACGGAGGCCCATGAGTTACGACTTTCCATTTCACGCGGCGCGCCAATCGGGTCCTGGAAGTTCTCAAGGTTTGGGCTCGCCCCAAAGGTTCGGGCCCCGAACGCCCGGGCCCCGAAGGTTCGGCCCTCCACTTTATAGAGAGATTGGGCCGCCGCTGCTGTCCGGAATAAATTAAAGATTGCCACTACTACTGCTGCTACAATGAGCGCTCTTTCGCAAAATCTTTTCTTTCAGGCCCTGGGTGTGCCCCGGAAGTTCCCAAGGTTCGGGCGCCGAACGCTCGGGCGCGAAGGTGCGAGTTGTAGAGCTTGCGCAACCGCTAATCATCCGGCCAGAGTAGGTCGAGACAAGTGGAGGCAAGTGTGAAATCATCGGGCAAGAGTATCCAAGCGTGGAGACAATGGTAAAATCATCCGGCCAAGAGTATCTATGCAGGGAAACAAGCGAAGAGACAAGTGAAGACAAGTGTAAACATCCGGTTAAGGGTATCCAGACAAGCGGAAACAAGCGCTCAAACATCCGGCCAAGTGTATCCAGAATAGGCCGACAAGTGTAACAAGAAGGGAGACAAGCGTAAAGTCATCTGGTCTATCTAAGCAGGGAGACAAGCAAAGAGACAAGTGGACGAGTGTAGAAACACCGAGACAAGCAGGCAGAGAAAACATCGGCCCAGGCACGCAACCGTTCAAAAGTAGTAAGAACCCCATACAGGTAAACCTGTTTGTGGGAAATATATAAATATAGTTACATATGACATTTGTTTCAACACAAATTCAATTAGAAGTTTAATATTCGAACGAACATCAACCTAACATAGTTTATTCATTAAATCTAACGAGATAAACTAACATCAACCATTAAACATCAACAAATAATAACAATCTCCAATCTCCAACATTATTTCTTGCTCCAATCTCCAACATCAACAATTGCTTAACCAACAATTAAACAAATAATAGTGATAAATTCAAAAATCATCATTCAAACACACGGCGCGAAATATTTCATATATATATATGTATGTACATGTGTATGTACATATATACATATATACATACACGCATACATACATACATACATACATACATGCATACATACATACATACATACACACATACATACGTACATAATCATGTTTTCCGATCGTTCCACTACAATATAAATAAATCGCCGCAACTTTTGTTATCACTTCGGCAATTGCTCTGCGAAGAAGGCAATGGACTGCGTGTCAATGTCTGTGTTTTTTATGCCGGACCCTTCTCGGTCTCTCTGTTTCAATTATCTCTTGCTGCAGTTGCGGGCACAGCCGCGCGCCATGGACCATGGCATCGGCATAGTCCACTACAGCATAGTGAAAGGAACCACCAGAAGCAGGAATTGAAGGGCTCTGCACGCTCTGCGAGCTCGTCCGCAGCAAAGGTGCCTGCGCGCCCGCCCGCACTTGCTCAAGATATTTCCTTCGAGCCTCACGCGCTCTTTCGCTTGCTTCTTCTCTGCGGCTCTCTTCGCGTGGCCTGCTCTCTTCGCAGGGCTCGTTTCGTTGATTCTGCTCGGGGTTTGGCACTGAAGAGAACAGACTCAACAGACCTCCCATGGCCAGACCAGCTAAAATGAAGAGTAGTCAGGATTTGCTTTGCAACAAGGTCCTTGGTGTGGCGCAAGGGCACGAAGCTACTGTTGAGCCAGAACTGCGGTACCTTCCATTTGATATCTTGAAAGCCACTCATTCTATCTTGCCACAACGTCTGTCCATCGAACTGCATCACAGACCCTGAAAAAAGCGCCCGCCCCATTGTATCTCGGACCTCCCCCGAAAAAAATCACACCGCTCCACGGTCGAAGCCGCCCGCGCAGGATGTAAAGGGAAAACAGGCGCACGCACACATACAGACCTAGACATCCATCCATGCATACAGGCATGCGTACACGCAAACATACATCCAGACATACATGGGAAAAGTGTGTCGTTAGCACCCTACCGGCTCGGCAGCAACCAGCGCTCGCGGAGCCGTACACGGTAAGGTACACAACAGTGGCCTGCTTTTCGGCTATGCAGCTGACCGATGCACAGAACCAGATTGGTTAGTCCTCCCCGATGGGCGCCAACCAAATGCCTGGAAGCTCCTACATGCAGCCCGCAAAGGGGGCAATCGGTTCTGTGTGGGCAATGGCCTCCGTTATGCCCCAGGGCAAGCTGACGATACCGCCAACAAAGCCAACGAGTATCAGTTCGAACCACTCCACAAAATCTACTTCTATGATGCTTGGAGGTGGAAAATTGAGCTGAATCAGCCGGAATCCTCCCTCCACCCGGGAACTAGCAACTTGTGCCCTTGGAGCCGGAAGGAAATGTTAACCGGGCTCAAGCGTGTGAAGAGGCGTTTCGCTATGGCCCTATCTAATCGCCAGCCTTTTCACAGAGGGTTCTGTCTCGGTGCGTCTGTCTCGGTCTATCTGTCTGCGTGTCTCGATCGAGCAGGACACAGGGACGAACACACGCACGATGTCAATTGTCTGTCTCGGTCTGTCTGTCTTGGTCGGTCTGTCTCGGTGTGTCTGTCTCGGTCTCGGTCTCGGTCTCGGTCTGTCTCGGTCTCGGCCTGTCTGTCTCGGTCTGTCTGTTTCGGCCTGTCTGTCTGCGTGTCTCGGTCTGTCAATCTCGGCGCGCGGTCTGTCTATCTCGGTCTGTCAGTCTGTGTCTCGGTCGGGCAGGACACACGGACGAACACACCCACGATGTCATTCAATAGCGCAGTGTCCCCCGGGTTGCACATGCGTCCGCCGTGTCGATAATGCAATCCCCAAAAACATGTCCATTTGGATCAATCTTTAAAAAACCTGCGCACAGTATCTCCCAAGCGTGAGATGCGCCCCCCCCCAAGTAAAGCTGTGGCTTAAGATTTATCCAGCAGATTTCTTGCGGTTTGCGCGAGCCTCCACAACGCCTCAGCACCTTCGGCGCGGGCGGATTAAAGGAGAGCTGGCCCGTCCATCTTGGTCAAGGATCTCAACAAGTTGACGAAGACCTTGGACGCTCACGAGGTCTTCGCTTCGGAGTTTCCAACCCGTCTCATTGCCGAGATCGACCAGCCATCCCTCCATGAGAAGCGAAGTGCAGGAGGAGGTGGAGGAAAGAAAGAAGAAGCTAATGGCTAAGGTGAAGTTAGAAGAAGGGTCGACGAGAAAGGGCAGAACATAGAAGGAAAAGTGAAAGAAATGGAAATGAAACAGCCGTGCAAGTTCTAACTAAGAGTCCGGAAGTCGCGGAAAGGGTTGCAAATGGTCACATGATCTCAAGGACAATCAACGTCGCTGCTATACCTGAACATCTCGCTCCCTCTTCGACGTCACCGCCACAAGTGAAGAAGGACAAGGAAGACGGACGGACACGAAGGAGAACAGATTGATGAATTGTTGGAGGAAGGTAACAAAATGTTGAGGGCGATGAAGGACAAAGAAACGTCCGAAGCAAAGATGAACAAGGTGCATCAGCAGCTGGACGAGATCAAAAGAAACATCCAGGCTTTAAAGAAGAAAGAAGGCAAAGATCAGAAAAACTTGGTCTTCTTGACAGCGGCGCAACTCATCCACTGGGGCCGTGGCTTTTGCTCAAGAGTCAACGCCCCCCAGGAGAAATGGAAACCTTTGAAGAGGGCATCTTTGGGGAGGTGGACTTTCAAGAAGAAGAAGAAGAAGAGCAGAAAGAATGTTGAGGGTGAAGAAAGAATGGAAGATCAAGAAGAGGATGTTGGTGAAGAAGGTCAAGAAGAAGAGCTGAAAGACGGTGAAGATGAAGAAGGCGGCGAAGAAAAGGAAAGCCCAAAGATCATCATCTACAGCCTCACGATTCCAAAGCCTTCGAAGGTCCACCGTCCAACATGTGTACATCCAGCTCCGGGTTCTTTCGCGGAAATCATGGGACATCTTGAAGACCACCGCTGCCGGAGTCTTGCGGTAGAGATCGCGCTCAAAGAAGACAGTGCCACTGCCATCGCGCCGTATACTTCATCATGGAGGCGAAGGAGCCGGAACCACGTCAATGGACATTGATGGCAGTCACCAAGGCTGCTATTGAAGATGAATCTCCGTATGAAGAGGAGAAGAAGAAGAAGAAGGGCAAAAGTCACGATGGAAAGCTTCAGAGCCCGAGAAGGAAGAAAAAGAAGGAGACGTCACCCCGAAAGAATCTCGAATGCGGTCCTACAGAGCGCCATCATGCTGAAAAATGAAGCGAAGGTGATGGACGTTGTCTACGAGGAGCTGAAGAAGGTGAAAAGTGCGATGCCTCAGGAAGAAAAACCAGCGCTGCGAACTCGTATCATATCGCCCAAGGAACTTCTGAAGGAAGCCCCAAAGTGGGATGAAGCGATTAATAAGGAATAAGGAGCTCCATCAGCTGTTCGATGAAAAGGAGGCTCTGCGTCGCATCGCCGAAGAGGAGTCAAGGAACTACAAATGAAGTGGGGTCGAAGACTGGAAAACGTGATGAATGGCCGGTGGGATTCCTGCTCGTCTATGCGGACCAGTGTCTGAGACCAAGGTCAAATTCCTGGGCCGGGAAAGTCCAAAGATGGCGGCTTCAAGTTAGGAAGTTAGGAAGACTGCATCAAGATGAGGAGGGTGTCCCAGAAGGAAAAGATGTCAAGGTTCCTATGGCGCCGACTCCTTAAGAACCAACTCCAGAGTTGTGGCGAGGGCTCAACGAGTGGTGGGAGAACTGATGACGTGGCTCACCACTTGGTCCTCGCTCATCCCAATTGGGCGGTTGCCCAAGGTGAAGTCATCTGGCGGTACCTGAAGGGGGCCGGTGATCCGATCTTCTTGAAAGAAAAGGGAGAAGGTTGGGCTGGCGGACCAAGAGCCCTGGAGGTCTGCGCAGACTCGAGCTTTGCAGGGCTCTTTGGAACGTAGCTTTGATGTTGCGCAAAAGTGGAAAGCAACCGTTGCCAGCTCTCTCTCCCACTGAATCAGAACTGCTTGTGAAGCGATTGAAGGCGTACAAAGTGGTGATGCTGTTGATAGCATGATTCAGGAGCGTGAAGAGGCCTACACCAAAACACTCTACGTGGCATGTGGACGCGGGACGGAGACTTACGAATCTGGATTGGCGAGTTCGACACCTTGACAAGCCATCATGATCGCAGATCTGGGCACGAAGCCATTGATCTCTCAGCGAACTGAAGAACTGAAGGGTTTGATGGGCATGTCAACGAAGAAGGATCTAAAGAAAGATGGTTCCGAGGCGCTAAAGGGAGACAAGAAAGAAAACAAAGATTCTGAGGAGGCCCAGGGGCGGTAAGAAAGAAAGAAGACACAGAAAGTGAAGCCCAGAGAGAAACCTGAGCATGAAGGAGGCGGAGCTCACAAGAACATGTCAGTGCTCATCACGCCGCTCGCGGTTCTCATGGCCACCTTGATTGCAAAAACTCGTGCGCAAGGGGCGAAGATCATGGACCAAATGAAGAGCCAATGAAGATCTTCATGGTTGCTTACATCCTGCTCATTGCGCGGCGAATCATTGCCTGGCTCTTCACACCGCCATGCCAAGTGGAAAGGAGCACTGAACAACTCATATTGCTTCCTGAACAACCGTGAATTGCTTCCTCACTGGATTGAAATCCTCAGATCGCAGGAAAGGCAGCAGGCTGGATTAGAGCAGCCACTCCTGACCTCGAGCTCTTCAGCACCAGGCCACCTTGACAGGCATTCAAGAAGAACCTGAACAGGAGGTGCCAGCTGAAGCCGAAGTTGTAGCGGAAATGCGGGGTGAAGACACCCTACTCTATCCCTCAGAACGGGATTACAGGGACATACAGTCCGATCAACTCTGGGATCCTAATCCTCCTCCAGGACATCAAGGACCGTTGGAAGCGGCTGCGAAGGCTTTACGGGGCTGGTTCGGGAGGTGGTTATCACCATGTGCGCGAATTGGGTTTTTGGTTGGCCCTTTGGAGCTTAGGTAGAAGTGGTTTTTAACTTGTCATTTTGAAAAAGTGAAAAATCGTAGTTTCTTGGTTTAAACGGGACAAAAAGTGCTCCACTAGTCCAAAAGAATAGGTGAGGAACTCGCCCTTCACCGTCGACATGAGTCGAGCTCGGCGGAGCCAGCCTCTTTGGTGCCGAGGTTGGGGCGAGGCGTATCATCGCGATGCACCATCGCCATTGCCCTGTGCCACTGGAGGAGAGAAGAAGCATGAGATCTGTGTGATGTGTGCTCAAGAGCTCCAGAATCGGGGTGTGAAGATGTGATGAAAAGAAAAGATCAGGGGCTATCGCGCACCTTCATCCCTACGGCCATGTTGGCCCTTACCAAAGTTTTGGTGGCTTGTGAAGCCTACGGCTCATAACTGGAACGGCCGAAAACCTGGAAGGTGTGAAAAGCACACAATAATCACAAGGACTATGTCAGTTGAATGCATTGTTGTGGGTGCAATGCATTGATGCGCTCACTACACTACCTGGGGTTGCTGGTCTGGTGAAGCTTTGTGGAAATGAAAAGGGTGATGAACTACTGAGCCAACACGTCACCTATGCAGCATGGGCTTCAATTTGGTGTGTCACGCACGGGAAGAACGGTTGAATCTGGGGGTGCCC